TTAGTTTGAACCTACTATTGATCCTAGGCAGTCTATTCAGCTTGTTTACTCTAAAATAAAGATTCTATGTCAATAACGACTCTTGAATAGTTTTGACATATACATGAAATGAGGTTAACGGCCTTGCTATGAAAAGAACGGCTTCGAATGACATTTTAGCAATAAGTATACATTAACACATAACAAAGAGGTACGAAATTTTTCTTTTGTTTATTATTCTGGGCGCATATATAGGGTACCTGTTACATTTGCCTTGCACGTAACAACTTGGCTCTTATACCTTAGGTCACAAATGGACCTCAGAACCGGATTCCCCCAACCAGACGGCGCCAAGATCAATTACTGTGTTGCCATAGTGATGAAGAACGTCCGGGAAACTGACCAATGGTATGACATGGCCTGCGATGAGCGAGACACGAGATCCTTCATTTGCAAGCGGGCCGCAGAACGAGTTACCCGTCAGGGAAATAATGCTTAGAAATTGTAGTGACATTGTTTCATTTGATTCACCTGGCTGTATCAAATATCCTACAGTCAGGGCTGTCCATCTAGCCTGCGGATAGCCTTGGTATCTGGAGAATTGTTCATTATATAGTTTATTATACAATATACTATTGGTGATACCAGGATAACCAGGATATCGGTTATGAGAAATAAACCATTCTACTACTACTACTACTACTAACTACTATACAATAAGCACCGTTACAATGCTCATTCAAATGCGTTTACAGAGGTAGACTATACCTTGTTATTATACAAAACGGAGTTAGTCCATATTTAAAAATACGGCCGGAGACAGACTGTGTTACTAATTTAACGAGCGTGTGTCATACCTTATAGGGTATGTCCGGTAAGGTGGGAGATAAAATCATAATATCTGTTCTAGTAAAAGAACACGAAACTAAACAAACGCCACCAGAAATGAGATATAGAACAACTGGATTGTTGACAAAAGTATAGTTGTTCACTGACAGAGTACTAGCCTTAGTAAGTCTGTGCTTACTGTCACGTGGCTGTACCATTTATATGGGGCACTGTGTCGCTCCCATAAACTTTATCATGAATTACAGTATTCGCCAAGAAAAACAAACATACCGTACTAATAATTAGCAAAGCGAACTAATATGCACTAATACATCAATACAAGATAATGGGCAAAAAAGACTTCACATTCAAATGTAACAGAACATAATAGAAATTGAAATAAACAAAATGATAAATTGATAAAGGACCTCTGTAAATCAATATGCACATAACATTGTACAGTGTAAAAAACACCTTATCTAACCTTACCTTATCGTCATTTAATATACATCATATCAGTCAAAATATCCATTGTAACTAGACCATTTGTCCTGTAGTAGTTTCTCTGTTGAACAGTCAAGCACAATACAAAAACAAGTAATCAAATAACCTCCAGATTTACGTAATCTATTAATAGTGATATTTACGTATAACTAACCTGAACATGCCACAAATATGAAAGTTCATTAAAGCACAAGTTTCCAACATTTAGTATGGGTCGTAAGTTGCTAAATTTTATTTAGTTATGTTTGGAATATCGTATGGTTTTAATAATACAAGAAAAAAGAAATTTTAGTCTTCCGGGAAGTATACTAGTCTCGGCTTCCTGAATTCCTCCATGCCCACCTCTATTAGCAGCTGGCTTTCAGCCAGATGCCAACATCTTTGACCTCTTGTCCTGTTATTCTGTTATTTGGACGCACTCCGTCCAGCTGAGTGCGTCCAAAAAAAATCAATGGGTGAAATGACCTGTGCCACCAACTTGGTGGAATGTTACAAAAAAATCTCAGTTTGAAGAAGCAGTAAGCCTACTTTTGCGGTCTGTACTTCGATTCCTCCCCGCCCTGTAATCCAGGTCCTGCGAGGAGCATCGGCACACGTCATGGGGAGGGGCCCGGCACGCCTCAAATTCATTTTCACGCCATTGTGCGACCCGCACAGGCACGCGTACGGGCGGAGTCCAAGTTACAGCCCCACTGTATAGTGTTGTATTTTGTAGGGGGAAACTTTTCATTGTCGGCTCGTTTCGTGGCAGGCCGTAGCCATTTCGCACACCCTCAAATATAGCGACCGTCTCTGGCGTGGAATAATTCGGAAGGAGAATAACTGTATATGGGACGAAAGGACATCTCTTCAGCTACAAGACCAGCTGAGTTTGGTTTCTTCAACCTTTTTAAGTTTGGTAAAATCAGCGGAAAAAACATTGTTTTCACTCCAAAATTAATGCCCAAAATTGCGAATTTTCGCGTAGGATAATCTCATAGAAAAAAAATTTCCGGCAGAAATGACTGATGCTGGCAGAAAGACCCAAGCCTTGACTATACCCGAGTAAATTATAAAGAAAATTCTAGTACAGTAATTTTCTAAACAGTCCACGGCGCGAGGGGTTGCAAATCCAACCCTACGAAGCCGCAGAGCGAAATCTAGGTCAAACGGGCGGATTACACTTGACGCGCAAGGATACCCGGAAGTAAGGTTCGGAGCCAAAAGAAATTTTCACCCCAAAATCACCATTTATTACACTCTTCAGCCATGTTAATGTTTAATGATACTTCGTGGCAGTTTATGAGAAATGTTACCTCAAACTTGGACCCTCAAAACCCTTTCGTCACTTTTTTTTACAACGGACTATCACGGACGCAAGAACTGGGGTGTGCACCGTTAATAATATCCTCAGGCTAGTTGGGCGGCCCTGACTGTAGCTAGGTCATTTTCTGTAGGATTCCTGTAGATGCTACCTGAAAGTCTGACCGTTTCCAATATCATATCCAATTGCTTAAGTAACAGTTTTGTGGCATGTAAGTTGCATTTAGAGAGTACTCAGGGGTTTATCAGAGCATGATCACCTGGTCAATAAAGAGCTCAATACAATACATTTTTCTCAACCCTTTATTCCCAACATATCCGTATGTAATACAGCATATGTGTAGCTCGAATAATTTTTCCGCCACCACACACTAGGCGACACATATTTGTGTACGTCATTCTCTAATATCTTTAGGTCGATATAATAAACTATTGATATCTAACACCAAAAATTACGATAGTCTTCTTGAAAAATTCTCACACCTCTAGACAAAACACCAGCATTTATTCCTCGACTTTTCGTTTCTAACCATTACTCTAGTTCACTAAGTTAACATAATTCCTCCATAGTATACATGCATAACGCACCAATAATTAGCTGATCAGACATATAAGTGAAGAAAAAAAACATAAAACACAGCCTACAGTAAATGATGGTGTCGACATAATAAAAAGTCTGTCGTTCCTAAAGCAATAGCTTAAACCCCTATCATACACATCCGGCCATCACGTCCCTAACTTTTCCAGACCATGGTTGGGAGTTAGTCGTGAGCAAGTTCATCAGTAGTTGGGAGTTGTTCAGTAAGGCTGCACTCTAATCTTTAATTTCGTGGTGTTCTGTGCCAGCCGACTGTATACTAGTATTTTGAGCAAAGTTGAGAAAATCATATTCTGTTTTAATGCGCCCATCGGAAAGACATGGAGCTATATATTAAAATGGATTTCAGGCTACTCACAACCCAGAATTATTTTGCTTGGGGAGTGGTCTGGAGGAACGTCGTGGGAAGGTCATATATGTGTGATAGGTGCTTTAGCTTACATGACTGTATATTATGTCGTCAGATTTAGTCCCAATGCAATCATTAGTTGTCACCATAATATAACTAAATTTGACCTTTCTTAATCGTTATTAGTAGTAGTAGAACGGTTAGTTCCCACAACCGACATCCTGGTTGCATTACCAATAGTATATTGTATTATGTACATTCTCCAGATACCAAGGCTAGCCCTTTATAACATCCTCAGGCTAGATGGACAGCCCTGACTGTAGGATATTTGATACAGCCAGGTGAATCAAATGTAGCAATATCACTACAATTTGTAAGCACTATTTCCCTGACGGGTAACTCGTTCTGCGGCCCGCTTGCAAATGAAGGATCTCGTGTCTCTGTCATCGCAGGCCTCGTCATACCATTGGTCAGTTTCCCGGACGTTCTTCATCACTATGGCAACACAGTAATTGATCTTGGCGCCGTCTGGTTGGGGGAATCCGGTTCTGAGGTCCATTTGTGACCTAAGGTATAAGAGGCAAGTAGTTGTTACGTGCAAGGAAAATGTAACAGGTAACCTATATATGCGCCCATAATAATTAACGGAAGAAAAATTTCGCAGCTCTTTATCATGTGCTAATGTATACCTATTGCGAAAATGTCATTCGAAGAGTTTCTTTTCATCGAAACGACCATTATCGATACGACTACCTAGGATCAATAATAGGTATTTGTATAGAACTAAATAGAGTAGTTGAAAAACGCATTGATGGATGATAACTATAGACTCCTTATGTAATTACCAGTCCGTATACGTCACAGGAATGCCGTCCGTCCACACAAAGGTTCGGTTCCTGTAGACATCATAAAATCCTGGAGATACAAAGAAATACTTTCAAATACAGGGCACCATTAGGTATACTAGAGATGTATCGCACCGTAACTAGATTTATAAACATGTAGAATGTTCTTCCGCTCTCCCGTCTCTCTTTCTTGAAAAATTCTTAAAAATCGTTTGTGTCATTTTTTGTAACAATGCTATTTTTGGCAATTGTAATACAGCCTATGGTAATCTGATAATACGTTATGACTTAATGTCATACCACACTGCAACGCAGCGTTTTCTAACAATCAAAGACAGGAAAGTAATATACCAATGAAAAGCTTCGGATCAGCGATATGTTTGACGACAACGTTGGTGACCAAAAGCACGTGGAGAAATTCCATTTCCTGTCGGTCAGAGACACTGGTTAAGTTGGCACCGTACTCGCGGCACTTGAGGTCTGATTCAACCCAGTTCAGCGGTACGGTCTGTCGGAAGGTCTGGTAGCAGTTCCGGCGGAATAAATGCCAGCCGCACGGGCAAATGAACCCTTGTTTATCAGGCATATGACAAAAATGAGTTGTGAAATCGCAAAGATTTGTTTCTAGTCACTGAAACATTCAAACCTCTCTTAACGTTGATTGGAATTAGTTTTATGTGACACACAGGAATTTACAAAGCAAGAATTTATACCCGATAAAACATGACATGTTAAATGTTGTTAAAATAGACACAATGCTCACGTGCATCGTCAGGAAGATTGTGCACCTGGCGGCTGGGGCTAAAAGTACTGATGTTGAATGTTGCAATAAAGCCGCGACTGCCGCCGATATCAGCGCTGTTACTCGTCGCCAACATGGCCAACTGCATGTCATTGGAGCTGGAAACATAGACCTTCTGCTCGTCCTCCCCACGACAAAGCCCGTGAATCGTGTTCCACCCTACCGTCAGGAACCTGTCCCTGACCTGCAGCACACGGCTTGTGCAGACGCCACTCGAGTAGCCCGGCAAATCAACGTCCAGCAGCAGAAGGGTGACGAAACTTCCCTTCGGACCATCGATGGTCCACAGGCAGATAGCTGAAGGCGGGAAGGCGGCTGGGTAGCCGGGGGAGTAGATCAGTCCGCAGCGGTAGTCATCGGGAAGACCGCATCTGATGTTCCCACAGCTTGTCTCCCGAGCCATACAATCGTCGCACACTCAAAAAAGTGATTAAACAATGGGTGAAACATTTCTGTTGAAAACTCAAAGCTTTAAAATTTAAAGAAAAGCTAAAAACTTCCTTCAAGTTTTTTTTTAATCATAGCTATTGTATTGTCATTCAGCAAAAGAAGTTATGGATTGGATAAAAATTTTTGTTTAAATACCTGTCATGTCCGGAATGTTTGCATCAAGGTCGCCTTTTTGAGTTTCTGCCAAGTCACCATCTACACATTGTGTGGTGTTTTTTGTATCGTCTCCACTGTGTGACGATGGATCTATGACAGGTAAGTAAGAAAGCAACAAATTACCGGTGTCTACTTCAACTTCAAACTTTCCCTAGCGACCACCTCTGCAAGCAGGCCATCTGGCCATAACGACTGCTTTTTCCCCGTCCCGAGTTTCCCCATATCGATGTAAGCATTTGCCTGAGACGACCAGTTGTCCGACACGACCGCGACTGGCACTATCTGGCACCGCACACGGCCGAATCTCTACCTATGACGACCGCGTCTTTTTGAAGCTTGTGGCAGAAAATTTTTTAGGATAACTAGCAACAAATTTTGATGGTATCGGCCAGTTCCCCATTGATTTCGACAACATGGCAGTATCTGCGCAATGCAAAATTGTGCCAAATGGATCACTTCGGGTCAATTGGGCATGCCGTAAGTCTACTTTTGTAATATCGGCGGAGATTATGTCGTAGTTTTCCTGTTCTGTCTCTGATCTTGCCATACTATGCTTTTTGTATCAGAAGACCATGTGCCTAAGAAGACCACTTCACACCACGTGGTCGTCGACGTCTTAGACAGGTGTTACTGTATAAAAATGAAAGATAAACATAAGATAATTTATATGTAGCTTACCGATATCTAAACATATATGGTATATATATATATATATATATATATATATATATATATATATATATATATATATATATATATATATATAAATATATTGAATTGTTACTGTACCTTTCTCGCAAATGAATTCCTTCTCGAGGAGGCTACATGGGTGGAGGCTCCATGGTCCTGCACATTTACAAAACAAAACCAAATTTTGGTTAGAAAATTAGAATTAGACGTTAGAACATCACTGTGAACATGCGCCAACAGGAAATTAAGCTTAACTTTCTTAAATTTTTTATTTACTTTTCGGTCAATTATTTTTTTTCTCTAATTTTTGAAAATACCAAAAGCCATTCAAAATCGCCAACAGGTGACAGGG